GTTTTCGAAATTCAGCATTTTTAAATTGTTCAGACTAACACAGCGATGGGATCTGATTGGTTTTTTATCTAAGATTTTTATAGCTCTATTATAGATCATCTGAAGAGGCTTGATAGTAGTGCTTGTGGCCTGTGACCAAGAACTAATGCAGTAACTTAGATGGGAAAAGATCATGGAATGCACAAAACTGTGAGCAGCGTAAAACGGTAGGGAATCTCTAATCAGTTTGAATGTGTATAAGTTTGCTTTTGTTACTCTGGACACTTTTTTTACGTGGCTGTCAAATTTCAATTGTGAGTCAAGTATTAGTCCTAGATACTTGATTTCTGGGACCTGCTGGATTCTAGCTCCATTTATCTGTAAATTTAGTTCTTGAGATATGAGCTTGGTCCTAGAAGAGAAACAGACAGACATAGTTTTTTTAACATTCAGAGACAACCCTGCATTCTGGAACCATACTGACACAGTTTGTAGATGTCCTGACAGTTCATTAGAAACTGCTTGCACAGTCTTTCCACGAACATAAATTACTGCATCGTCTGCATATAACTGAAAACCTGCTGTTGGACAAGACTCTGGCAAGTCATTGATGTATAATGTAAATAGTAGAGGGCCAAGGATGGATCCCTGTGGCACTCCTGTATTTATCTTTAAAAATGATGATTTTTCATTGTTTATTGTGACACACTGCTCTCTTCCTTCTAAGTAGGATTCAAACCACTGTAAAGTTTTCGGTGAAAATTTTAATTTGGATAATTTTGCAATTAGAATTTTATGATTTAACATATCAAATGCCTTTTTGAGATCCAAAAAGACTGCGCCTACTATTTCCCGGCTGTCTATTGCCAACTTTATTTGTTCAACAAAATAACAGTTTGCTGTATCCGTAGAATAATGAGGTCGGAAGCCAAACTGTAAAGGATGTAAGATTTTATGATACTGTATGTACGCCATTAACTGATTGGACACTATTTTTTCCAACACCTTAGAAAATACAGGCAGGATGCTTATAGGCCGATAGTTACAGGCCTGGTCTTGGGATCCTGACTTAAAGATAGGCATAACTCTAGCCTGTTTCCAGGGTGCAGGGAATTGCCCGCTCTCAATGGACAAATTAATTACATGCGTTAGAGGTTTTATGAGTGCATTTTTGTTTCGCTTTACGAAAGCCGTATTAATGTGGGAGAGATCCATGCAATTGCTTTGTTTAATTGTATTTATGGCATCAAGCACAATAGATTCACTAGTCTGCTCTATGGAGAATGTTGTGCCTGGTGTAACCTGTTGTTGAATTTGTCTCGTAAGGTTTCCAAAATCAAACTGTTGGACCAGCTCCTCTACAGATGACACAAAATAATTATTAAATTCATGGGCTATTTGTTTAATGTCTCTTATCTGCTGGTCTCCAATTTTAAGCTCAAAGATTTTTTTTGTACTCTGTGGTTTTACAATGCTATTTATTTGTTTCCACATTATAGATGGACTTCCTTTGGCTTCTGTTATTGTAGATATGTAATATTCTATTTTTGCCTTTCTTAAATTTTTTATGACACGATTTCTTAAACTTTTATATATGTTGATATCAGTATTCAATTTACTTTTGAGTGATTTCTTCAAAGCCATATCTCTCTCTTTCATCAATCTCCTGATGTCACCATTAAGCCACGGTAAAGATCTTTTTTTAAATGTTTTTGTTTTTTGAGGAACTTAGAAATTACTTCTTCCAAACTACTTATTAGTTCTTTGCAACCGTTGTGGACATCCTCATTTTCCAAAATATTGCTCCAACTGATGCCATTTAATTCATTGTCTAAAACAGGGAAATCGTGCTTAAAAATAGTTAATATATTTGATTTAATATTGTTAACATTTTGAAGGCGTTTTTTAGAAAGTTTTCTTACTATCAAAATCATATTGTGGTCTGACAAACCGGTTAGAAAATTGTATGATTTTAATATTCGATCTTCTTTATTAGAGAATATTAAATCAATTTGGGTCTTTGAAGACTTTGATATCCTTGTGGCACCTTTCATTATCTGGGTAAAATCAAACTTTGTCATTAGGGTCTTAAGTTTTTTCCTTTTGCTAGAATTAAGCCAGTCAATATTAAAATCACCCAGTATGATAACTTCTAACTTATGGGCAACCATTTTCAACAATTTATCTAGCTCACCATAAAACATTTCATTGCAAGAAGGGGGATTATATAAAACCACAATTAAAAAGTGCATGCTTGATGACAGTGATACTTCAACACAAATATGCTCAATGTTTACATCATGTTCAAAGGTGACTTCAGTGCACTTAAAAGAGTCTCTTAAGTAAATTGCCACTCCTCCTCCTTTGCCTGTTTTCCTATCAGTTCTATAAAGTCTATATCCTGGAATATCAATTAGATTAGAGTGATTTTTACTGTTGAGCCATACAACAGTATGGCCTCAAAGTTCGACGTACTGTGCGTTCAGAGATGCTCTTCTGCCCACCTTGGTTGTAACGGGGGGTTATTTGAGTCACTGTTGCCCTTCTATGAGCTCGAACCAGTCTGGCCATTCTCCTCTGACCTCTGGCATCAACTAGGCATTTCCGCCCACAGAACTGCCGCTCACTGTTTGTTTTTTCTTTTTCGGACCATTCTCTGTAAACCCTAGAGATAGTTGTGCGTGAAAATCCCAGTAGATCAGCAGTTTCTGAAATACTCAGACCAGCCCTTCTGGCACCAACAATCATGCCACGTTCAAAGTTACTCAAATCACCTTTCTTCCCCATACTGATGCTCGGTTTGAACTGCAGGAGATTGTCTTGACCATGTCTACATGCCTAAATGCACTGAGTTGCCGCCATGTGATTGGCTGCTTAGAAATTAAGTGTTAACGAGCAGTTGGACAGGTGTACCTAATAAAGTGGCCGGTGAGTGTATATCACTGCTGGGCATGACCCTTCCCTTGATACACATCCATGATAGACTTTCGAAATACGACTAAAGGGACTACAAAATAAAAGCCTCTTCCTTACACACATTCATTCATTGTGCCGTATGGCTCGTAGCTATGACCCAAACTCAACCAATTTCTTCAAATTACACTACCAAGGCCTGTTGACCACACACCTCAGTCCATATTTCTTAACCAGGTTCTAAGATTTACACTGTAATAAAGCATCTGCTAACCTCGTAACATGCAGCCTAAGCCTGCCAACGGTGCTTTCATCAACACAGCGGCTCGTAACATGCAGGTTAGATTTTTTGATAAATTCAGCTCCTTAAGTGGAATTAGCTCTCTTTCCATTAGCTTCTCTCTCTGTCCTTCCTCTGCTTCTCATGGTCAGTCTTGCACATAGTTTTTTAGATTTTCAATTCTCTAAGGATGACACTGTTTTCTTTATGCTGATCAACTGACAATTTTTAAATCATTTCAAATTGTTTTGCCAAGTCTTGACATTTCCACATATGATTTCAAAATATTGATACTTATTCAATACCATATTCCTCAACATTTTACTTCCCATCCTTGAGCTACTCATTTTTTCTTCAACCAGATAAGATTCAAGTTTGTCTTTGTAATTTCTTTTCTGATTCAGCTAATTTAATACTTTTCAGCCTATCCTGTGAACTTTGGCTTCATTCTGCTCTCTTTCTGAACAGGAATTAAGCTTTTCTGTTTGCTGCTAATTCATAACACGCCTGACATTTTGCTTGGCAGTAGGTGGCCCCCCTTTAAAATTTCTGTATACATTTTTCTAGAAACTTGGGAGACATTATATTAAGACCCTTGTAGCGCCCACATTCAAGACATTTTTTGATATCATGTATGGTTTGGCTGTGCAGCTTTGAAGATGAGTTTGTTTCTGCCATTTTACTGCCAAATGATTCTACCCTACAAAATCTTCAGATGATTCAATTGTTTTCTGCAGTTTGAAGTTTCTGATGACTTCCTATCACATTTTCATATGTTCTTCAGGTAATTTCAGCTTTTTTCATTCAGCAAAAGCATTCCCACTTGCTGTTTCTCTGAAAAAGCTTTTTCTAGTTTGCAAGTTAATTTATTTATAAAGAAAATATAAACGCTGCTTAAGCTAATTCAAATGAAATAAAAGTAAAATAAGTAGCCAACCTTATCACTGTCTGTAACCTACTAACACAGTAAGGAAAGCATCAGATGAGCTACCTGAGAAACTAACGTTACGTTTCCCCACTTTATAACGAAACAAACATGGTCGCTCACCCTGCTGATCAGCTCTCTTCACTTCCATTGAAGGCTCCAACGTGTTTTTCTTTTCAGGTGCTGCATCATAACAGTGGTGCTTTCATGCCATGTTAATTTGTTTTTACAAAAGTTGCATGTTACGACTTTTTTCGCTTTACAAAGCGCAGGCTGTCTGCGAATTGAGGCGCAGCTCGTGTTTGCAGTATTGGTCATTAGAAGAGTTGACGTTTCTGCCTTTTGAAAACAGCCTTTGCTCACCTGCGGCGCTGGCTCGCTCTGCCCAATTTTTTTGTCTTCCCGCGTTTCAATCAAGTGGCAGTGATGACGACGACGGCGGATGACGCATTAATCGCGCAACACAACTAATCGATGATGAAATTTGTTGCTTACACTATTAAAAATCAATTTTTATGGATTTTATTGATTCGTTGTAGCAGTCCTAATTCTGATGATATTCAGATACAGATATTTGTCAGTGATACAATATACAAAATACAAAAACAAAGAAATCAAACCAGATTTATGAATAAAGGTTCTTCAGAGAATGGAGGAAAAGTGAGCCTTGTGTGGAGAACTTTGTTCATGTTGTTCGCTGGCTGTCTAGCTTCACATGGTCACGCGTTGTGAGGACAGCACATCTTTAGTTTTTCTTTCAGCTTAAAGTTAAATAAACACTGGAACTTTAAACCTTCTGCTTCTCTGCAGCAGTTTGTGTTCAGAGATTCTTCTTCTCTGGTTTTTATCTCAGAGTTTCTCACTGATTGATGTGATCTGAATAACAACATGTTTGTGTTTCAGAGGTCAGAACCGCAGATGGAGAGCAGAACCTCCAGGATCCAGCTGTCCGTCTATGAGGAGTGACTGGTCCAAAGGTAGACCTCCAACCTTCAGTGCAGAACCTGGACTCTCAGACTCAGAGTAAGGAACCAGTTTCTAACTGATGATGTGACTCTGCAGAGATAGAACCTCTAGAATGTGAACTGGTTGATCTTCAGGGTCTCACTAGTTTGGACTTTGTTCTGCTGGTTTCTCATCAGCATCCAACATATTACTGACAGGTCCAAAGTCATTTTCTCTCCTTCCAGCCTGATAAATCCCAGAAGTTGTTCAGATGTGAATCTAAATGAGCAGAGATAGAGACTCAGTGTGTCATGAATCAGCAGAATGGTTCTGGTTCCTTCCAGCAGGTGGAACTGGGCTGTAGAAGCAGCCCTCACTGCAGCGGGCTCCTTGGTGTCTTTGTCCACACAGTCCTACCTGTGGAGCTGCAGGTTGGGTCCGTTCAGAGCTTCATCATGTTGCTCAGAAACCAGAACTCTCCCAGCAGCTGTTCATCTGCAGCTCTGTGGCGTCTCTTTCCTCCCAGCATCAAACAAACCTTAGCGTCATCCTGCCTCTGATCCAGTTCAGGTTCTATTGGGGTTCTGGGTGGTTCAGTGGTTGAGTAGATGCTCCATGTGCCGAGGCTATAGTCCCTGATCCGATTGTCCTGGTTTGGTTCCTGTTCTGGCTCCATTAGCTGCATGTCCTTCCTGCTCTCTCCACCCTCATACCTGTCAGATTCAAGTCCTCATTAATCCCAGTTTGGGTCAATAACAGACAGAAACTCAGCTTCTGGTCCTCTCTGTGGTGGACCTTCATGAACATCTTAGCTTCAGTAGGACAGCCCCACCCTGTTGGTAGTGAACTATTTCAATGATGAAGAAATGTCTCCACAGATGGAGGAAGAGGAGCGAACCCCAGAGTGGAGAAAGATCCAGAACCAGAGCTGGACCGCTGACAGCCAATCAGAGCAGCTGTGCAGCAGGTAAGACTGAACATCTCCAATCAGAGCTTCCTTCTATCGTCTCTGTTGAACTCTGGCAACAGATCACTGATTACAGGATAGATATTTATATTTACATCATGAAATCATTTTAACAATCTGTTGTTTCAGTCAGACAGCTGCAGCTGATCCAGAATGCTGCTGCCTGCATCCTCACTAGAACTAAGAAAGTGGAGAACATCAGCCCAGTTCTAAAGTCCTTGACAAGCTTTGACATTCTGCCCAATTTGATGCTGCTGCTAAAAGATTTCCTTATTTATCAAACCGATGCAAAAGTATAACTTCACATGATGCTCAGCATTCTTCATTTTAGGGAAGAAAGTTCTTCTTTTAGGAGTTTTCATAAAATACAACTTTATTCTTGTAATGTTATGACTTTATTCTCATAATTTTACTACTTTATTCTCCTAATATTCTGAATATTCTCGTTGTGACTATTCTCGTAATTTTATGATTTTATTCTCCTAATATTACGACTTTATTCTCGAAATAAAAAAATTAAATATGTACCTGGCCCTAATACTCTGTGGTATAACTGAGCTATCTAACCTGCTTACTGGATCATCAGTCCTTTCAGTTTTTGCTGGGTTGACTAATGTGATCCTACTGGGTTCTGAGATTCACATCAGTAACAGAAAATTATTTATTTAATGTATTTTACTTTGTTTATCATTTAAGCAGGTAGACAGAGGGGAGGTGGGGTATTTACTGTTCAACGGTTTGAAGACACTAATTTAACTGTTTAAAAACTCTTCAAAATAAATGGAGCAACATTGAAAACACCTAAAATAGGTAGAATAAATTGAATGTTTCCTAAATGTTGATTCTGGCGAGTCAGAAAATTCCCTTTCAAATGAGGTTAGCCTGAATGGGGCCGTTGATGCAGATGATTATTAAACAAATAGTAGGATGCATCTGATTTTAATGATTAGCATTATGCTATAACTGAGCTCAATGCAGCGGCTAGGCGGCTCCAAGCAGTTCCTGCAGCTGTGCCCAGTTCACCACTGATTAGGGTGAAGGTACAGTGTGCAGGAAAAGTGGTACACAAGGCTTTAGACATTTGGAGTTTTTATTGGTGCAAGTTTCAGGATTTCCTGGTTGGACGATGCAATGACCTCCTAGCTTAGATACCTCGGTATAAAAACTATTAGTTTTCTGTAAATAATGAATGTTTCCTCCATAGAAATGAACAAACACAGCCCTCAGTGAGAACATCAGAAATAGTTTTTATTTTTCGTTTGGCTGAAATGTTTCCTCCCGTTTCTTTGTTTCTCCATTCAGATGTTGATGGTCGATGTCAGTGTGACCTTAAAGAGTCTCTGAAGAAGAAGTTTGAATGTGTCTCTGCTAAAGCTGGAGAGAAAACCTTTCTGGATGAGATCTACACAGAGCTCTACATCACAGAGGGAAAGACTAGAGAGGTCAATGATGAACATGAGGTCAGAAGGATTGAAGCAGCATCCTGGAAACAAAACAGAGCAGGAACAACAATCAGACCAGAAGACATCTTCAATCCTCCTGGAGGAAGGGGTCGGATCAGAACCGTGATGACGATGGGCGTGGCTGGCATCGGCAAAACAGTCTTAACACAGAGGTTCACTCTGGACTGGGCTGAAGGCAGAACCAACCAGAACATCCAGTTCATATTTCCATTCACCTTCAGAGAGCTGAATGTTCTGAAAACAGAGTTCAGCTTGGTGGGACTGATTCATAAACACTTTAAGCCAATCAGAGATGCAGGGATCTACGGCTTTGAAGACTTCCAGGTTCTGTTCATCTTAGATGGTCTGGATGAGAGTCGACTTTCTTTCCACCACAATAAGATCCTGACTGATGTTACAGAGTCCACCTCAGTGGATGTTCTGCTGACTAACCTCATCAGGGGGAAACTGCTTCCCTCTGCTCTCCTCTGGATAACCACACGACCTGCAGCAGCCAATCAGATCCCTCCTGAGTGTGTTGGCATGGTGACAGAGGTCAGAGGGTTCACCGACCCACAGAAGGAGGAGTACTTCAGGAAGAGGTTCAGAGATAAAGAGAAGGCCAGCAGGACCATCTCCCACATTAAAAGATTAAAAAGTCTCTTCATTATGTGTCACATTCCCGTCTTCTGCTGGATCACTGCTGATGTTCTGGAGGGTTTGTTGGAGACCAGAGATGGAGGAGAGCTGCCAAAGACCCTGACTGGGATGTACATCCGCTTCCTGAAGCTTCAGATCGAACGTAAAATAATCAAGTATGATGGAGGACAGAAGACAGAGTCCCAATGGACTCCAGAGAACATCAAGATGGTTCAGTCTCTGGGAAAACTGGCCTTTGAGCAGCTGCTGGAAGGAAACCTGATCTTCTATAAACCAGACCTGGAAAAGTGTGGCATCAACATCAAAGATGCTTCATGGTTCTCAGGAGTGTTTACTGAGATCTTTAAAGAGGAGAGAGGGATGGACGACACCTCAGTCTACTGCTTTGTTCATCTGAGCTTCCAGGAGTTTCTGGCTGCAGTCTACATGCTCCACTGCTTCACCAGCAGGAACACAGAGGTGGTGGAGAACTTCCTGGGAGAAAGATACAGAGAAACATCTCTGGAGGACTTCATGAAGAAAGCCATGGAGAAATCCCTCAGGAGTCCAAATGGCCACCTGGACCTGTTTGCTCGCTTCCTTCATGGCCTCTCTGTGGAGTCCAACCAGAGCCTCTTAGGAGGCCTGCTGGGTCAGATGGAGAACAGTCCAAGAACCATCCAGAGAGTCATCAACAATCTGAAGGAGATGAACACTGATGATAGAATCTCTCCTGATAGAAGCATCAACATCTTCCACTGTCGTCAGGAGATGAAGGACCTCTCAGTTTATCAGGAGATCCAACAGCTCCTGAAATCAGGGAAGAAGCTCTCAGAGATCCAGTGCTCAGCTCTGGCCCACATGCTGCAAATGTCCGATGAGGTTTTGGATGAGTTAGACCTGGAGAAGTACAACACATCACAGGGAGGACGACAGAGACTGGTTCCAGCTGTGAGGAACTGCAGAAAGGCTCGGTGAGTCCAGATGTCTTCATGGTGTGATGCTGATTCAGCTCTATTGTCTTCCTGGTTCTTCTTCATGGTTCTAGTTGCTTCTGGATGTTTTTGCTCTTTAACTTCTTCCTTCATCCTTTGGACTATTTCAACCATTTAAACATCTAAACGTTCAGCTCCGTCAGGACAGCTCTGCTAGAGCTTTTGGTGTTTAGAGATTTGGATCATTTTCAAAATATTCCACTTTGGATCAGTTTCCATCTTCCATTAAAATGAATAGAAAACCTTCAGAATGTAGAAAATCTGTGTTTTCTCTAAAGATCCACTTGTGTATTTTTTTTTCTGATTTTGACTTTAGATAAATTAAATTGCTTAGAAATTATTACAGAAGTAAACACTGACAGTGAATGCTGCAGGATAAATAAAATCCACCAGTTAAAGAAACATCAGATCTGTTCTCAGCACTTTGATCTGTTATGAATTAGTGGGACCTGCAGTTCTACTCCTCTGATTGGCTGCCTGGAGTTTAAATTAGTTCAATCAGAAGAATTTGAGAAGGAGGCTTATGGCCATACCGTCCTGAACACGCCCGATCTCGTCTGATCTTGGAAGCTAATCAGGGTCGGGCCGTTTAGTGCTTGGATGGGAGACCGCCTAGGGATACCTGTTGCTGTAAGCTTTTTAATAAAGCAGACTAAATTAAATTTAGATTCTTGAGTCAAATAAACTTGGAAAAAGTAGATATGAGAATGGATATAAATGATGTAAACATAAACATTTGTAAGATAATTATGGAAGCAGCCGACCATTCTATAAAGAAAACAGGGTGTAAAAATGATAAGAAAATGGTACCATGGTGGACAAATGAATGTAAAGAAGCAATAAAAGAAATAAAGCATTTAAGGTACTAAAAGGTAATCCAATTTATAATAATTTAACTGATTATAAAAGAAAGCAAGCAATGGTAAGGAGAACTATTAAGAATGCAAAAAGAGAATATTGGAGAAATTCTTGTAGCACAATAGGAAAAGACACAAAAATAGAAAACATTTGGAAAGTAATTAAAAGAATGAATGGAATAAAGAGAGACTTTGAATATCCTATTTTAATAATAGACAATAAAAAATAATAAAAGATATAGATAAAGCTGAAATATTGGCAAGAACATTTAGTAAAATTCACAGTTCAAATAATATTAGTGAAGAGGGTAGAAAAGGAAGAGAAAATACAAAACGTAAACATAAAGATTTACTAGAGTGTGTTGAAGAAACAAACCATTTATTGAATGTTGAGTTTACAAAAGTCAAACTGAATGAGGCACTGAGGAAGACAAAAAATACAGCACCAGATAAAGATCAAATTTGGTATAGAATGATAAGTCAACTTAGTGAAAAATCCAAAGATACAATATTGCAACTATATAATAAAATTTGGGACGAGGGAAAATTACAGACGAACTGGAAGGAATCAATTCTAGTACCAATAGCTAAACCAGGAAAAGATCATTCAAATCCACAGAATTACAGACAATAGCTTTAACATCAAATCTATGTAAAATAATGGAAAGAATGATTAATAATAGATTAGTATATTATTTATATAAAAAAGGTCATTAGTATTTTTTGATATAGAAAAAGCAGATGATATGATGTGGGTTGAGGGATTATTAATTAAATTATACATGTTGGGTATTAAAGGAAAATATTTAAATGGATTAAAGACTTTTTACAAATAGGAAAATACAAGTTAGAATGGGTGAAGTGATCTCAGGAAAATATATAGTAGAAAAATGAACTCCGCAGGGTAGTATTATAAGTCCATTACTGTTCTCAATCATGATAAATGATGTGTTTAAAGATATTGGAAAAGGAATGGGATGCTCTCTTTTTGCTGATGATGGAGCTGTTTGGAAAAGAGGGAAAAATGTGGATTTTATTGTAAAAAAAATTACAAGAGGTTATTATTGAAATAGAGAAATGGGCGTTGCAATGGGGATTTAAGTTTTCAGTTGAAAAAACAAAAGTAATGATATTTAATCAGAAAAAAATAAATAAGGAAATAAAATTAAAACTATATAGCCAAGGATTAGAGCAAGTAAAGTGTATAAAATTCTTATAATTATGGTTTGATGAAAAATTAAAATGGAATATTCATATTCAAAAAGTTGTTGATAAATGTGAGAAGATTTTAAATATTATGAGATGCTTGGCTGGCAGTGACTGGGGAGCAGATAGGCAATCACTAAAACAGATTTACACAAGTATGATTAGATCCAACATAGACTTTGGTTGTTTAGTGTACGGTTCAGCAGCTAAAACACATCTGACTAAATTAGACATTATCCAACATCAGGCATTAAGATTGTGTACTGGAGCATTTAAAACCACACCAACAGCAGCAATGGAAGCAGAAATGGGAGAAATGCCGTTAGATTTAAGAAGAACAAAACTAGAAATAAATTATTGGTTGAATTTAAAAGGTAATAGCTTAGATCATCCAACTCTGGAAATTTTAAATCCATGTTGGGAAAAAGAAAAGAAAGAAATTAGGAGTTTTGGATGGACAATTGAAAATAAAATAAAAGAATTTAAAATGAATGATTTAGAATATCAATTATACCACCATGGATTCTACCAGAGGCAATAGTAGAAATGGCAATAATGGAAATGAAACAAGAAAAATCTTATATCCTAGATATTTATTCAGTACAGTTACATTTAAACAATTATTATAAATATATTAAAATTCATACAGATGCATAAAAAATAAATAGGAAAATAGGAATAGCTTTTGTAGTAACAGAATTCAATATAAGAATAGGAAAACGAATTACAGATGGATTATCAGTATACACAGGAGAAATGTTGGCAATATTATTAGCTTTACAATGGGTAGAAGATATAAAACCGTTAAAATCAGTCATTTGTTTAGATTCAAGCTCTGCATTATTAAGTATAAAATATAATAAATCAGATAGTAGGATGAACATTTTATTAGAAATAGTTCATACATTATTCAGAATACAAAATATGGGTTTGATAGTTACATTTCTGTGGGTTCCAGCACATATTGGAGTAGAAGGAAATGAAAGGGCAGATAAAATGGCAAAGAGGGCGATTCAGTATCCTATTAGTTTTACAGTTAAAACAAGTAAATCTGAAGGAAAGATTTTTATTAAAGAGAAACTGATGGGAAAATGGCAAAAAAAGGTGGAATGAAGAAAAAACAGGAAGATGGTTTTATAAAATTCAGAAGGCAGTAAGAGAAAGGAGAAATGGTAGAAGAAATAGAAAAGAGGAGAGAGTGATAGCTAGGTTAAGATTTGGACATACCGGACTTAATTATACACTTTTTAAAATTCAAAAACATAATACTGGAAAATGTGATTATTGTGGAAAGTATGAAACAATAGAACATGTTATAATAGAATGTAATAAATATGAAAGAGAGAAGATTTATGAAGAGAGAGTTTGAATGTATTAAGGAAAAGGTAAATTTATTAGATATTTTGAGGAAGAATTTGGGGAGTAAACAAATACAAATAGTTATTAGATATTTAAAGAAAACTAAATAATTTGATAGAATTTGATTATAGATGGTCTTTATGATATTGATGAGTAAAATACTAAGATATATAGAGATAGAAATATATCTCTCTATATATATATATATATATAGATATAAATATATAGATAGATAGATAGATAGATAGATAGATAGATAGATAGATAGATAGATAGATAGATAGATAGATAGATAGATAGATAGATAGATAGATCAAGAACCAAACTCCATACCAGTAAGTGGTGGTAATGCTGCTCAAAGTTTTTTGCCAACCGCCAATAAACCAAAAGAAGAAGAAGAAGAATCTGAGAAACGTCCTGCTTAATGTGAGAAAACAGAGTGTCAGAAAGTGCTAAAAACTGCTGTTCTCAGGACATTGAACACCACCTGATCTAAAAAGTTGCATTCAATGACCGAAAAGAGCATAGATTTTTTCTGTGTTTAGCGACACCTCTTAAAACAGCGCATTAAACTGCTGGAGTTGATGGCGTGCCTTTGAGGTTAAAAAGTTAAAATAAGTTATGTTGAATTTCATCAGTTTGTAAGTAGATTTTAAAAAGTATCTATTCTTGGCTGTAACAAACATCGTCGTAGTGAGCGCTCTGTTCGTTAGCAGCAGCTATGTAACCTGCTCAGGTTGTTTTTCCTCCATTAACTGCTCAGCAGAGCTGAATTGATCACATCCAGCTAAGCAGTCAGCTGAAGTCAGATTGTCTAAAGTTTACAAACGTTTTGGCCTTGGAGAATATTTATCTGTTAGTATTATAAGGGGATGAATGTGTATTTTCATATTTAGACCTACGTGTGTGTTTTCCATGTATACAGCTAACCCCGCTAACATTAGCTCATGCTAAGATCCTAATTCATGCTAACATGCTAACTTCTCTCATTTTCTTCATTCATGGAGGCTAACTGAAATGTACTTATTTTATGCTTACTCATACTGTGATCTAAGTGAGTAAAGTTTGCCTTATTCCTGTATTCTTCAGTTTTACGGTAGTTGTGGAATGATGACTTCATTAAAGGACTAGAAACGTCAAGCCTTGTGGTTTTTTGGAGGGCTTCTAGCTAACCGTTATCTGGCTGTCTAGCCTTGCATCGGCACATGCACTGCGAGGGCAGCACAGCGGGACTTTCAGAAGACATTTTTCATGGATTTTCAACCAAACGCCTGGTAAAAGGATCCAGTTTGGTCCCTTTAGGCTTGCCTTATTTCCCGCTACATTCATCCTCCCAGATTAGATGTTCTTCATCCTCCTCCTCATCATCACATCCTTCCATCTTCCAGCCCTACAGGAGAAGCTTGTTAGAAACCATCACAGGTTTGACATCAGTAACCTTGGCTGAGTTAAAGGAGGGAACAAGGCTTCGCTCTCTGCTGATCTCACTGCTCTGCAGCTTCTCATCTCCAATGTTGGACATGTCTGTGGGGCTGTGGAGAGAGGAGAAGTTAGGAACTGATGATTATTAGCAACATCTGACCTGTAGAAGATGTGAAATCATAGGCCAGTTCAGGCTCTGTCTCCTCCATCAGGTTCATGTTTCATTTAGTGATTTCATCAAGTCTAAAGTCATGAAATGAGTGACTGGAGTCTGACCTGAGTCAGAACTCTGAGCAGTTCATTCCTCTCTCTAGAATCACCAGTAGTGTCCTTCATCCAGCTCAGTCAGCCTCTTCATCAGTTGCTTCAGTTCCTTTGAGTCTCTGATGCTGCAGCTCCATCAGATGCTGCAGAGAAAACTGAACTTTCCTTCACAGACTGATAGAAGATCTGCAGCATCTGACTGCAGATGCTGCTGCTGCTAAAACCTTCAGTGTTGTTCTGTGAACATGAAGCCTGAGCTGTTTGAACCTGTTGCTCAGCTTCTCTGTTTGTCTCCATCACTGTGGTTCAATGGAGCTTCTAACCAAAGCAGAGACACAGCAGGTCTGCAGCTGAACCAGGACCTGAAGAGACTGAAGAGATTCTCTGTGGTGTCAAACAGGACATTGATGAGGAGCAGTGATGGTTGATGAGGCATCTTGAAGCCAAACTGGATCGATGCTGCGTTGATACTGTCTCACAGAATACTGACACCTGCTGGACATTTAAAGACACTACAGGCAGCTTATTGGACAGACTAAACTGAATTGATTTGATGACCTAGTACAATGATATCATTTAAGTTATTGGAGGTTATATTATATTATTTCATATCTATGGTTATATTGAAAATATCTTTGATATTTTTAGATGCAGCCAATAAATAATGTAAACATATAAGCGTATATAAAGGAAAATGTGAATAAGGATGTTTGTAGACTAGGATTTTAAATCATATTTTAAAACAATAAGTACAGTAAAAACAGTAAATAAACTAAGAGGCAATTTGAAATTAACTTTAATTCAGATAAGTTGAGTGATAACTGAGAGGAAAAGGATGACACAACGAGAAAATTAAAATAAAAACTCAACGGCTGAAACGTTCCTATTCCATTTAGGCTCCAAAATTCTTGATAATTTTAATGATAAACCGCAAAATATGAGACATTTTTTTAGCAGATGCATCATGTTGACAGATCCGTTTTTAAACCCAGTTTAGTGAGTCAGTCAGTTAGAAACAACTCCTGTATCGGTCACATGACTTTCTGGAAACGACACGCGCACCAATACAGTGTTTAGCTCTATGGGCTCCACGCATGCACCGACGCATCGCTGTTGCTGGACCCATCACTAATGTGGAGAGCAGATGTTCATCAGATGATGACATCACTGTTTGCTCATCATGTTTTAGTCTGTGTTTATCATCCAGATTGTCTGATTTCATTAGAACTGACTTTATTTCTCCTCTAATCACAGACTTGGTGGCTGTTCTCTCTCTGAGGCTGAATGTGAAGTTGTGGCCTCAGCTCTGAAGTCCAACCTTCATCTGACTGAAGTGGAAATAGAGACGATCAGTGGAGGTGGAATCTATGGATCCTTTGGAGACTCTGGAATGAAGCATCTGTGTGAGATACTGGAGAGTTTAATCTGCAAAGTGAAGAACTTGATGTGAGTTTTCTCTGTTTATTCAAACCAAATCATTCACTGATACTTTAATGCTGATTTTAATTCATCATTTTATTCTAATATATTTTCTTTATAAACAGCTGTTGTCCAAATGTCAGAATAACATTTCTCAGACTTTTTACCTTGGAAATGAATTATTTTCCTGTTCCAGATGTTCAAAATATTGAACTTTATTTTCCAGATGTTCAAACTTTCAAATGTTTTGGACTGATGGACAAAAATGAGGAAAATGAGGAAAATGATGTTAAGTAATGATGGAGATGTTTCAGTTTGATTTGGGAAAGATTCAGATGATGAGACAAGATAAGATGGCTTTATTTCTCATTTCTGATTCACATCTTTCCATCCAGAATGACATTTGGTTCCTCTAGAGTAGAACCAGAACCACAAACATGTTAGAATAACTAGAATAAAATCAGATGATCTAAAAACTAATGTTTAGGAAGAAAAGACAAAGACATGAAATCTTTGTCCTGAAGCTGCTGTTCTGTTGGACCGGGTCAGAGAGAACCCGTCCTCTTCAATCTGTCAGCTGTCAGAGTCGCTTGGAGACACAAATACTTAGTTACTGAACTTAAGCAGCTTTTTATTTCTGACTTACTTACTTCTTATTTACTTGAGTATTTATTTTTCAGAATCCTTTTTCCTTTTCCTTCCTACATTTGAAGCCAAATATCTGGACTTTCTACTCCTTCCTTTCTCCAAACTGGCTCATTTCTTCTCTCCATATTGATAACGACATGACGTAAGAGCTGCAACAAAACAGGGAAAATCAGGAAGAGAATCTGTCCAGTTGGAGCCCAGTTAGTTTGTAGAAAAACACTGATAGAGACATGGATGAAGACAGGAGGCTGGAGACATTGATGGATCAGATTGTGAGACGCAGACATTCCCCGTCCATTCCCCCTTTATTAGGGAGGAAATGTCCATGTTGATTCTGTTTGCAGCTTTAATGCTGTGAATAGCAGAGCTCTAAAAGGATTCAGCTGCTGATGAAGGACTTCTGTTCACTTCAATCTATATCATCCTGTCTGAAATTACAATCTAGAACCAAACTAGACCCAGTCAGGATTTTTATGTTCTCTCTACCAACACAGAGAGAAAAGGAGCAAAACTAACCTGTTTTCTCAGCAGAGGAATTATTTTGAAGAATAAAGATTTTAAAAGTCATTTTTCATCTGTTAAGGCAAAAACTTTATTTTAATTTAGTAGTAACTGAACTTTTTTTCTTTCTCCTCAGTAAATGAGTTCAATCAGTCTTTTCTTACAGGTATCTTTACTTTTACTTCACTAGAACAGGTGAAAACATCTGACACCTTTGGTTCCAGAGAGTTTTGTTCCCGTAGTTTCTAGCGACTCCTCTGGGCTTTATCTCCATCTCAGTATGGTAGCAGCTGCGTACCGGTGTTATACTATATTCAGTGACCCTGGCCAAAGAGAGAATGTGTTCAGTGATGCTGTATGATTGGGCCAGCACAGTGTCAGTGAGGAAAATAACCAATGGTCCTTGGACTAGTGTTTATCACGTGCCGGGGTCACATATTCTGCTGGAATGTTTTAATGGAAAGTTTTAATCTGCATCCTGTTGAATTCAGCTAAAATCTTTGATTCTTTATTCAGATTGTGGAGGTGCAGTCTCTCAGAGATCAGCTGGGCTTCTCTGGGCTCAGCTCTGAAGTCTAATCCATCCCATCTGACAGAACTGGACCTGAGTGGAACCAACCTGGACCCTGGAATGAAGGAGCTCAGTGGGTTTCTCCAGTCTCCCCTCTGCAAACTACAGACATTGAGGTCAGATGTAGTATATTTGTTTATTCTAATAACATTACAGTGCAAATCTCAGTGTGAAGGTCAATCAGTGAGCTAGTAAAGGATCAATAGGCTGATTTTTCAGAAGATGCTGCATGAACACATTTCCAACAACTGGGAGGAAAATGAAAAAGGGAGAATAATCAGCCAAACTGTTAAATCACATGGTTTTTTTTTTAATGAAGATGAATGAACAATTACATACAGATTCTTTAAAGGGGTGATAGAATGATTCTATAGGGTATTTGGTCCTTCTGCTGTGAATAGCAGAGCTCTGAAAGGATTCAGCTGCTGATGAAGGACTTCTGTTCTCTTCAATCTATATCATCCTGTCTGAAATTACAATCTAGAACCAAACTAGACCCAGTCAGGATTTTTATGTTCTCTCTACCAACACAGAGAGAAAAGGAGCGGAATTAACCTGTTTTCTCAGCAGAGAAATTATTTTGAAGAATAAAGATTTTAAAAGTCTTTTTTTATCTTTTGAGGCAAAAACTTCATTTTAATTTAGTAGAACCTGAAACTTTTACGAAAAATTTACTTTTTAATTTTTTTCTTCAAAATTTTTTAAAGTAGCTAAAAGATGAGAAAAGCTTTTCACTGAAGATCATTAAGCTTCTGAGTTATTTAGAAAAACCTTTATCTGAATATTCGATCATCTAATAAACAAACATTTTTAAACTCAGTCTTAGAAATCTTAGAATCTTAGAAACTGATTAATTAGATTCTGTTGAATCTCTGTGTTTATCACGTGCCGGGGTCACATATTCTGCTGGAATGTTTTAATGGAAAGTTTTAATCTGCATCCTGTTGAATTCAGCTAAAATCTTTGATTCTTTATTCAGATTGTGGAGGTGCAGTCTCTCAGAGATCAGCTGGGCTTCTCTGGGCTCAGCTCTGAAGTCTAATCCATCCCATCTGACAGAACTGGTCCTGTACAAAACCAAGCTGGACCCTGGAATGAAGGAGCTCAGTGGGTTTCTCCAGTCTCCCCTCTGCAAACTACAGACATTGATGTAAGATGTAGTATATTTGTTTATTCTAATAACATTACAGTGCAAATCTCAGTGTGAAGGTCAATCAGTGAGCTAGTAAAGGATCAATAGGCTGATGATTAGAAGAGCAGGTTACGACTCTCAGAAGGAGGACAGACATGTTTAGAAAATAAAGGCCTCAGTTTGTCTGAAACTCCCCAACATACGGAGTGACTACTGGTCTGGGTCTGGGTTCTGCTGGAGTCCTGTTTGGGTTTCTGTCTGCTTTGAGGAAAGCCCAGTTAGGAGAAGCACATTGCTCTAGGGCCCGTCTGGTGTGTGATTTCTCCTTCTCTCTGCTGAAGTCAGCAGGTCTTTATTGGAGCAGCAGCATGTTGGCATTAATATCAATGAGAGCTCTTTAACTGGTTCTGTTGGACTGTTCCAACCTGCATCCTGTTGGATCAGCTCACATCTTTCTATTCTTTATCCAGATTGAGGAGGTGTGGTTTGACAAAGATCAGCTGTTCTGCTCTGGTCTCAGCTCTGAAGGCAAACCACTCACATCTGGAATACCTGGACCTGAGCTACAACAACCTGAAGGAGTCAGATGTTCAGCAGCTGCAGGATCTTAAAGAGAGTCCAGACTACAAACTGAAGCGTCTGTAAGTAGATGGTTGGAGTGAGTCCAGCTGCTCCAAAGCTGCTCTGAACAGGACTGAAGTCCTTGCTGCTCTTTATCCTGGATGTGCTGCATCACTGACTCCATGGAGGTTTGATCAGAATCTGATCAAACTGTAAAGTTGATCTTTTTTCTCTCTGATTCATTTTCAGCCTGTAACCCAGAAATCTGAAATAAAGCTCAATTCTAAAGTTTTCAGGCTGCATGTTTGCTTCATTGTGATGCAGTTTTTGGATGTTTTTGATTCTATTCCAGATGTTTCCTGGAGATGTTTGGGCAGCTCTGCTCATCTGATCTGTTGCTGCAAACAGCTCAGTGAGGAAATGATGGTTTCTTCAATCAGAGGGTGATTTTTTTACTTGTGGTCACCACCACACCTCATTGCCCTGCAGGTTTCCTTGCTGTGCTGTAGTCGTAGCGCCGCGGTCAGATAGTTCTTTCTGTTCCCATTAAAAGCCACAGTGAACCTTATTTCTGCTGGAACTGAAGCCGCTCCTCCATAGACGGCTCCTGGGGGCCGATACCTCACATTACAGCTTTGGTCCAGTGGTGGAAACAACCAGACCTGAAACAACCAGACCTGGACCTGAAGCTCCTAAGATCAAAACCTTGTTGGATTTTGGTGTTTGTCAAAGCATTGGCTTGTCAAGCTATATAGAAACATATATGATAAATGCACCCGGAGAAAAAGACCAGATGTCCAAAAGTTTGGCATGGATGATAAAGCCTTGACTCTAAAACTAGAGCTAAAACAAGCTCATGGGTTCAAATCCCACAGAAATTGACTTATCATTTTCCAACAACTGTAGAAGAAGAAACAAGAAGATAAATGCGCCCGGAGAAAAGTCCAAAGTGTGACAGGTGTCATAGCAGAGTGGGATTGTCTGCGACCGTAAGGCGCCAGTGGTGCAGAGTCTGAGTTCAATTCCATCTGTGGTTGACGGAGCCTGGAACTACCCACTGTGGTGGGTCAGGGAGGGGGGCCGTGTCTGTTTCTAAAAAACTAGTCTTTTTTTAACAAAACTTGAAAACAACCACTTGCATTATACTACATTACTTATTAACAGATGTAACCCATCTTTATTAAATAGATGCATATACAACAAACAAGTGTTATACTTTTGACAACTTGAGTACAAATAAAACAATACTGAAAGAAATCTTAATTAATTTAACTAATTATTGGTCTCAGTTGGCTTCCATAAGTAATGTTCTTAGATGATTTACATCGGTTAATAAGTAATGTTGTAGTATAATGCAAGTGGTCGTTTTCAAGTTTTGTTAAAATAAACTACTGTTAGTATTTTAGAAAAATAATTTTAGTATTTTTCTGACTGTCATTAAAATTTCCAGTCAGACCTTGTTTCCTGATGTATAACCTCCTCCAGGTGTTGCTGTGGAAGTCAGGGAGGGGACACGGCCCCCTCCCTGACCCACCACAGTGGGTAGTTCCAGGCTACATCAACCACAGATGGAATTGAACTCAGACTCTGCACCACTGGCGCCTTAAGGTCGCAGACAATCCCACTCTGCTATGACACCTGTCACACTTTGCACTTTTCTCCGGGCGCATTTATCTTTTTGTTTCTTCTTCTACAGTTGTTGGAAAAAGTTGATAGCTTCCTCTGAGGGATCTGAACCCATGAGCTTCCAGCCTGAGAGTCAATGCTTTAACAAGCATGCCATACACCACATTCACTGTCACATTTTAACCCCTTCTTGTAGCTGATTTATCTTTTTGCTTTAAATTTTCACCTTAAAAACCACATAGTATGTATCAGGATTCTAAGTTTTTTAATATTCAATTCTCTGAGACTTCAAAGTAGAACCAGGAGTTGAACTCAGGATGCATTAAACTCTAAGCCAGCATCTCTTCTCTCTGAGCTACCAAGGCAGATGAACCACAATTCTGTGATAAATGTTTTCCAGGCACATTTATCTTTTTGTTTTCACTTTTACAGTCGCTGAAAAAAAGACAATATATATTTCTGTTGCTTCTAATTTGAAAGCCAATCATAATGACACTTCAGCCTGTTCTCTTAGCAGATCTAACCTCTCAGTTTCTATATTAACCTTGATAATAATGGTGGCTAAAATCCAATAAGTATCAGCAGGATTTGATCCTTTAACCTTCTGATCCAGGTCAGGTTAACTGGACCTCTGCACCACTAGACCCTCCACACTTTGATCTGTTCTTGTAACACATTCATCTCCTTCATGTCTAGATTAACTTTGTTCATAAATGAAGACTTTCAGCAGGAATCAGATTCAGAACCTTCATTGATAAGATGGCTGATGTTAACATGAACTGTTCTTGAAATATATTTATATTATTAAACAAAACCTTCTGGTCTCCCTGAGGAATTGAACTCAAGACCCTTTGAACTCCTTCCTACCTCCTTTCCTCTCTGAGCTATCCAGAAAGCATCATCAACATCTGAATCCATGACATCATCCATGTGACGGCTGAACATTTCTCTTCCAAATCCTCATTTTCTCCAAAGCATCAGCTTCAGAACCCAGAGGTCCAAGCAGAGCTGGTTCTACAGCTGGTTCTGATGCTGATCCCACTGCCCCACAGCTGCTAGTTAGGTTGGATCTTCTGCTCTGGATTCACTCCACAAGCAGATGGTCAGACCAGAACATCTTCACCTTCAGAAGCAGAAAGATCTGATTCTAAACAGATTCAGCTTCATCATCAGAACCAGAACTGGATCCTTTCTTCATCTCTACATCTTAAACTAGGAAGGTCCAACACTGTCAGCAGTTTTGGTTCTGATCAGTTGGATTTTCTCTGTAGAGTCATTAAATACATGGAAATATCTGCAAATAGGTCTATTTATGATCAATTAAAACATTTATCTTCAGCTGGTGGAAAAACAACTAAAAAAACATTTAGAAATAATGAATAAATATCTGAGGGAGGAGCAGCAGCATAAATACACATGAAGAAAAACCAGAACCAACAGGTTCCATTCAGAAAGCTGCAGCGACCCAAACAAACGTCACATGATCCAAAGAGCTGCAACTTCAGCAACGTTTAAAGTTCCTGTAGAACCGCTGCAGACCAACAACAGAACAACCTGAACAGATTTACACTCAGAACCTGATAGACAGGAAGAACCTCACAGAACCACTGGGTCAGGGGTCCAGCCCAACACTCTGAGGAAGATGATGATGATGAAGAACAGAGGAAGCATCAAAATCAGGGACTGAAATCCTGCTGCTTCCTGTTTTCAGAATAAAATTAACATAACCGACCTTGTTTGATTCAATATTCAAAGCAGAAGAAGAAAAGCAAAGATTTCTTCCCTTAGATCAGTGGTTCCATCTCTGCTCCTGCAGCTTTTAGGCGTCTTCTTGCTGCCACACCTGAACTAAATGAACGGCTGATTACTGGATCACTTTCACTGCTTCTGGATCAACTTTGATACCAGAGACTTTAGACCTGAAACTGGATTAAACTCACTGGGAATGTGGATCTAAACTGGGAGAACAACAGAAACAACGTTGGATCCAGTAGAACCTGCTTCTGCTTTCTAACTCTAAAAGTATTTATCTCTATGTTTCTCAGGCCTTCATGGTTTTCTGGTTCCCATAAATATTAATGATCAATAAAAGCCCCAAAGAAGCAGCCTTTCACTGGTTTATAATCAGCTCAGATTGATGGAGACCAGCAGCTGTGGTGTGAGATGCTGGTAGGTAAAGCATCCATGGACGCCACTTGGTGACGGCGCTCTATGTTAGCTTTACCTCCCAGCATCTTGTCCTCCAGCTGCTTCATGTTTATTCTGTCAAACTTGTCCTACAGGTGAGTTTTGAATGGAGTCACAGTTCATGTCAGCTTTAGCAGCACTGGAGACCTTTTTGGACTCTGATGAAGTGAAACCATTCCTGGATTTAACAAAGGCTGAAATAAATGAGGCAGAGTTTCCAGCTGATGTTCAGTTCAGGAAGAGTTAAACAACTGCAGTGAACAAAAGGGAAAGTTTTCTTATCTGGGATTTATTTGTGCCTACAGCCCTCTGCTGTCCTCCTGTGGTCGCAGACTGTAATTACACACTAAAATAATTCAATCGTGATGAATTATCTATGATAAAAATATGAGCGATTGTTTGTTTACCAACAGTGTAGATCTATAGAAGCTTATATTTAGAGTTTATGTGTAAAAAACAGGGGAAAAGATCAGCAGCAGAGCTAAAAAAATGGAGAAGCTTCTTGTTAACATGTCGAAGATGAAAAAGCAAAATTAATGAATTTAATACTTGAACATTATTCGAATAATTTTTATTTGTGTAAACACAAGATATGAAAACATCAAGGAAGGATATTTTACTCAAAATAGTTCAGTTAATGTATCATGAACAAGAGAAAATGAACTAAACAAGAATTTATATTTTATTTTTACAGATTCTGTCCTGAACGTGGTCTCTATACTGCCCTCCCGTGGTATTAGGTTGTAATTACACTTCACAATTCTTCAGAATTTTAGAACAATGAATCATAATGATGGTAAAAAAGAAAATATGAAGGATTGTTTGTGTAACCAAAGATGGATGCTGTGGTTCAGCATCAGGGTGTAGATCTACAGATGCTGATAATCAGAGTTAAGCAGGGAGGGCTGATGAAGATCAGCCTCAGAGCTAAAACCATCCTCCAGTGTCTCCACCTCCTGCTCGCGTCTGTTAGCATCGTTAGCTCCGCTCTGAGTCTCTGGGGGCTGTTTTTTCTTTAACTCTGTGAAACTGATTCTTACTCACATTGATAGAGAAAACATTGGAACGAGACCTGGAGACACATTTGAGAAAATGTTTGGAACTGGGAAGAAGTTAATCTGCTGATCTGAGTCTGGAAACCAGCTAGCTACAGCGCTACAAACTCATTGGATTCAGATCAGCGGGGTTATGCCCCGCCCCCTGGTGGCTACAAGTAGGTACTACAACTAAAATAAAGCTGGAATAAATCTATCAGAGAAGCGCTTCCTTTGGAGCCTTTCAAAGTA